ATTAACTAAATAACACATTTTTCAACCCATAAGCATTACCTCTAGGAGCAGAAGATGGTCTCAATTCCTCTGCACTGTACAAGATAAATATTTTATAAATGAATAATAAACCCAGCAAATTTTAACTTCAACATTTTAAATGATTACTGTGAAAAAATGTGACTAAACACAAAAGCTTAGAACTAATTAAAAGGTGTGCAGCCATGTCCCCTTAAGAAACATTATCTGTCATCCAACCCCATATGTCTCCAAGACAAGGCAGAAACAGCAAGACTGCTAAACTGAAATCAGCAGGCAAAAAAGACATAACTGAGTGCAATCAGCATAAATGGTGATAACTCAACCTATAACAGAGAAAAATAAAAGAGAAGGCATACAGATTTTGAAGAGCATCAGCCCTGAGGGACACCATAACACACCTGTGTTAATAAGTTAGAGAAAAAAAGATGTACTTAAATTGGCTACCACCTGACAGCTAAGAAGCAAGTTAAGTATGTGTGGTTTACAGAGAGCAAAAGGGTAAACCTGCTTGTAACATGCAGGATTCCAGTTGGTCCTGGCCTCAGTGGAACAGCACTGTCTTTCTTGTAAGGAGGTGAAACAGGGTTTCATGAAAACCACAGATTCTGCAGAGTCAGTAAAATATTTCCTCCATTAAGAATCAGTATCCACTGGGTTGACTGCAGTAGATTCAGCAAAGTTTCAAAGCCTTAGTAAAGAACAGTCACTCCTTTCTTTGGTGACCTCTGCAAAACTGCTCAAACAAAGACAAAACAAAACAGACCAAAACCCTTTTCTAGTGTGAACTGGTGTAGTTCAGTACAATGGAATTTTGAGCTACAACAGCTTTGCTGAAATACTTTAAAGATTTCGGGATAATCAAGCAACTTGAGTTAAACTGCAGAAAAATTATAAATAATCACAGCATTTTGCAGTCAGAGTGACACACTGCATCCATGCTTGGTGCCTTATGTAGCTATTCCTACCTGATGGTAACTGCTACCAACTAAGGAGTTTCCAAACACTAAATTCTGATTATCTATTCTGGTTTGCAAAGGTGCTGATCCATTAAAAATTAAACCAATAATCTTGCGTTTATTAAAATGTTACCTTTGTCATGCCACCATCAGGAAAAGTATGTATGAAATGTTTTAAAGTCACAATAAGAGTAGCAATGATACTATTTGTTTTTGTAGCCTCAACATAATTCTGACATAACTATAGTCAAGATAAATCATCTAAAGGATGGTCTAAATTGAAGAGTGTCAGGATTAAAGCACAGGCACAGTCCCAAATAAAGCTACATCTGCCATCATATATCATTTTTGCAATTAGATAGCTAATTGAACTTACTCAAGAGCCAAGTTATTGAAACTCCAAAACATTACTGGAAAGGCAAAAGTAATGAACATAATAAACACCTTGCCTGTACACTTTTGGGATGAAAGATTTTACATTTTTATAATTTTTTTTAAATGAAAGAGATAACTTTTATTATTTTTTGCTGGATTAAAAATTTATTTCATAATTGTAGAAGAATTTTTGAAGGCTGAAATTCTCCAGCAAACCATAGTATACCAACTGTGCTGACAGTGATGGTAAAATACCTGAAAAGCCCATCTATAATGGAGTACAAAAATCTTTCTTTGACTACCACAATAACAACGAAGTCTCTTTTCAGAGCCATTGTGCATATATGTAAACTTCCCTGAATGAAAAGAACAGAGCAGTGCTCATGCATTTCTAAGACACTTTTAGCGTTATCTCACAAAAAAAAATATCTCTAGATTGTAATCTTTCTCTGCTACTGGTTGCAGTCAGATTGCATTGAAGAAATTTTTATAATTTGAAATGGGTTAGAAAAAAGATAGAGCATCAGAAGATGAAACAATCTTGCTCAAGAAACAGCCCTGCACTTTGCTCTGCAAAACAATGAAATAGATGAAGAGCCAAAAGTGGAAGTATAAATAATTTCTGTCACTGATCTCTGCTCTAACATTTGATTTGATTGCTAATATATTTATTCTTTGCTATTAAGATGGAAGAATATCTAATCCCTATTTTTTACATCACAATTTAAATGCTCAATTTTAAAACTTCCTTTTCTGCCAGAAGTACATTCACAAAACATACAGACATTAAGTAATCAGTTAATTATTCCCAATGCAAATATTAAATATTGAAAAAGATAACTGGCTACAAAGATGGTGATAAAACTCAGGAAAATATATATTTAAAAGTTTGATTGAAATAAAAGATGCCTAATAGAAATTAAAATCACATTTTGTTTTAAAAAAAATCTATTCATGTCACTAAACATTATGAGCGTTGATAAGTATTGATGAAACTCTGGTCAAATCTGTCTTTCAGTTTGAGACAGCTCTTTATTTTCACATCACAATTCTCACAAAACTCTGCTGCTCTCTATAACTGGAGAGTGTTGCTTGTTAAAAAAGCACATGGTAAAAAGGCCAAAACCTCCTCAATTATCTACTTTTAAGTCTCTTTTTGGATCTCACCCAGGTCACGGTTTCTGTAAAATATTAGAAAACACTTAGGCAGCCAATGTACTGTATCTACTGCCTCTCCTAATGCACTCTTCTGTCATTCACCTGCTCCTGCTTATTCTGGTCAAGGTAGCTGCTGGGACACAAGCTCTTGTGAGCAGGAATCACCATTTTGCCACACACTTCTCATTGTGTTCCCATCCTCATGCTTCAATGTAGGGTGGTCACTAGGAAAAACAAATTCTGCATATTTCTGGTTGAGAGAAAAGGAAGGGAGAGGAAAGACTGTCAGATTTTATTTTGGAAGTGTGTGTCACTATGTTGAATGTCATCAATATAAGAACTTAATTGACAGAAATTCTTCTGTCAATTGATTGATCAAGATTGATTTGACAATAACAAAGATTTACAAAGACATCAGTTCCACATACAATTAAACCACTGCCAAGACCTCTAAAATAAAAAAAGATCACCTCGCAGAAGAGAAATAATCTACACAACTTTACAATTGCTCTTAGCTGAACTGTTTTCCATTTTAATTTTATTTTTTTCCTTGTTCAATATTTTAGTTGTAAGTTATTATTAGTCAAACCGCATAAAAACGTAGCAAGGTTATCAGAATACCTGAAAAGTATTAGAATACCAGAAAAGGGTGTCATGGATAATGAAAGCAGATAGGGAACAGAATGTTTTCAATGTTTTGAACAAGACGTTGTCTTTGTAAGGCCTGAGTTACTCAGATCTGAGCACCGCCAAATGCTGCTGGGAGTTACACGGAATAGCTTAGTCTAGGCCCATTTCTAGATAGTTGAGTTATTCAGGGTGACAAGATTTACAGACACGGGTTCTCAGCGTGAACAGCAGGCATGGAAAAACATATGCTAAGGTGAAGGTTTTCTGCAAAACTTACTCATTGTCACATGGACTAGTTGTTGACAGGGCAGTTCAACCGCGTATGAGGTTTGCAGTACAGCTATTAAAATATTGCACAACATTAGATTAATGTAGAGATTTGTGTGTGAGGAAACCCACTGCCACCTGTGGCTTCTGCATCACTGCTATTGTTCTTCATGAGCTTTGAGCTCCACTTAGATCATCCTGTTGATCTACTCACTACTGGAGTAATCGAACAGAGGAGAGTACAGAAATCATCCCAGACATCCCCCTGCAAAAAAATAGAAAAGGAGTTTGTCCAGTTTTTCAAATGCTAAATGAGGAATTTGAATGAAAAAAAATGTTTTCGCTGGCACAGAGGTCAGTGCAATATTTAGCACATACAACAATCCCAAAATTCCATAGTATTCCATAAAGAGTATTAAAAATAATTGCTAATGTATAAAATCTTATTATATTTTTATATTAATTATTTTTCTTGACTTTCTGATTTTAATATGATTAGAATTTTCTAAATATTTTACCTAAGTAGAACAAATATAGTAGAACATACACTATTCCATAGAACATATGTGGAAATTTGAAATTCTGAAACAAAAATCCTCTTAGTGAAATACTGAAAACAGATCATGATGTTGATGCAATTTAATGGTATTCTAGAACTTATTCATGTTAGATTTTACTTTAATGCATCAGATATTAACTGAAAAGTATAAGTACCTAATATTAAAATGTAATAAAATTGTTTCCGCAATCACACGACAAATCTTGACTGTTACAAATTAGACAACAAAGTTTTCAAGAATATGCTGCACTACAGCTGCATCAGCAATGTAACTTCTTTTGCAAGGAGTAAGTCTGAAGAAATATTTCACTTAAGTCTTTTAAAAACCCTTCAAAAACGCCATCTGGTTATGGCCATTAACTATGGGAAGAGATTGAAAGGAGTGGCTTTACAGAAATATAAATAAGATATTGTAGCACAAGACAAAAAGACCAAGAACATTCCAGCTCTACTGCATAGTAGTTATTTTCCCTAGTAAATATATTTTTCTGGGGAACAAGACATAAAATGAGAAACCACACATCGTCGGAAATCATTTTTAAATCTCATATCCCCATAATGTTTCTTTTTTACAAATAAGGGAAAATCACCATATAACTGAGTTAGGAAGGTATAATACTTCTAAAAAATAGTCTCCTTCTAAAGAAATTAAATACCAATGCAGTGAAAATGACAACATTGTTTACCACGGAAATAATATTTGCACAAAATAGGACACAATAACATCTTCTAAAACAACTGAGCAGCAATAGCAATGCCACTCTGTGTTTCAAATATTTATATTCAATGTATTTATAATAATCTTATCAAAGGTTTGTGAGAAATAAATCTAATCTCCCCCTCTTTTTTCAATCTATGCATGGTATATGTGCTAACTTACTGAATTCATCCTTCATGCAATTCCAGTTTATTAAAGAGGTTAAAAATTTATAAAACTCTGATGGGATATGGTTTTAATGCTTCATCACACTACCCATCATTTGCTTTTCAATCTAGATCAGAATGATCTTTCCGACTTCCCTGCAATCACCTACCTGCACAGCTAATATTTTCTGAGCGTTCTCCTGAGAGGCTGCCTGGATCCTTGCCAGCCCAGCGTGGCTGGAGAGGCCGCTCCGGCTCCACCACGCCGGCAGTGAGTCCCTGCTCCACCGCCTCAGTAGCGCCTGCAGCTGGGACAGCAACGCCAACAGCCACGCCAACGCCAAAAGCGGCAACGCCAACACCAATGGCCATGGCAACAGCAATGGGGGGGCTGGGGCAGGAGGAAAAGGCAAGAAGGTGGGGGGAGGAAGGAGGGGAAATAAAAAAAAACAGGAAAAAAATTAAATTCCCAAGTCAGAGCAGGAGAGGAAATTAATGGCAGCGTTCAAGAAGAATGATGGAGGGAAATATAGAAAGCAGTCAATAGCCCATTCTGCGCTGTACGGACCTGACAGGAATTTCACAGTCTCTTGGTTTTTCAGCCCACTCATGTGCATTCATCAGAAACCAGTCACATCTGGCTGCCAGGATGGGGGGTTAATTTTCTCTAAATGCCTCAGCAGTTTTGTTCTAGCTGAGGCAAACTCTGTGACTGCAAAGCTGATGAGTAAAATATTTCTACTTCACCCAGTTTAACTCAAAACCGATAGCCTCGGGACATATTGAACCTTTCTTAAAAAAATAATCTTTTGAAGCTTTTTAAATGGCACATCAGGTCAGGCCAAAGTTTAAAATGCAAGTTTAAGACTTTGATGGACACAAGGGCTTTTTTTTCCCTGTATAAAGCTTATCATAGCTTGGCAATGTGTGCTTTAGTGCATGACAAAACTAAAGAGAATTAACTTAGCCATCAACTGCTCAGGGAGAACAATAACAGGAAAGAAATTTCCATATAGAAGTTCCTATTAATCTACCCGGCTATAACCACATGACAAGAAAGCATCTAACAGCACTAAATTGCATCAAATGTGGTAGCTGAGAGTGACACTACTTAAAAAAAGGATTTTTATATATCACAGAAAAGATAACATTTATCCTAGAAATTGCATTCACTGCAAAGGATCCTAACTGAAATTATTCCAAGTGGGAGCACTTACCTGATAGGCTTTTGCTGTTTGCTAACAGTAATTATTGTTACAATCCATGGTTAAGAATAATATCAGTTTTTCCTTAATCTACAAGTATTTGGAACTCATAAACACAGTGTGGCAGGTCTTGATCTAGAAGGAAGCTGTTTAAAGAGATCTGAAAATATACCAACACCGAATGTTTTTGAAAAGACCGATGTTTTTTGATAAATTCTGCAAATACTGCTGCATACTTTAGTCTAGTTGTAATGTAGAAAATGGAAATTTAAAACACCTAATTCATTGCTAAGTGGAAATATACGGGTTTGTGTTTCATCAAGTTAATTATTTCGATAAATTCTATAGCTATTGTTAGCATGAAGCCTTCAAGAGTATGGCTGTCACCCAGATTAACACAATGGATTGTACCATTCCTTCGGAAATATTACATTTCATTAAGGTCAATGCCACAGGTCAATAATTGGATCAGTTATAAAGAAGCTTTTACATGATAAGATATGACTGCTCTTTAGGAGCAAGCGCAGTGTACCAGGTGAAAAATACACTTTTTCAAGAGAATGTAGATTATAGTAATATCAAGTGAGCTATTACAGCCTAGAGAATAATTAATGCACATTTTCAAAATTAATGGCCTGATTTTCGGAAATACTGAGTTTCCACAAGTCCCATTAGATTCCATGGAAGCTGTGAGTATGCTGCATCTTTGTAAATGAGTCTGTAAAATATTAAAACAGGTCTTTGTACATAATATTTTGTGTTCTGTCAATGTATATTAGAAATAACATGAGGAAAGGTAGAAAAACTCAATGGAAAAATAGAAAATTATCAACTCAAATATTATGTTTTGCAGTGTGAAGAACCTTTTCTAAGTACCAGAGCTCCTTTCCTCCTATTTTAATAATTATTTTGTTTCCTGAAATCTGTCTTTTTCTGCTTGCCTTCTGTTAATTCAACTCTTTTCAAATATCACTTTTTTGATACCATTCTGGGGTCTGAAAAAGAATGCAGGTGAAAGAAGGGCAAAGCATACCAACCCAGGACATTTTAGTAAAACAACCTGCTTCAGCCCTAGAAAAACAAGTAGAAAATAATTTTTGGATTATCAAAACACCGTTTTTTGTAAAAAGCTAAAATAATTGCCAGCTATGTTGTTGTGATAAGGAAAATGGTGTCTGGGGGAACATATGAAAGCATTTACCAGTGAACAGTGAAAGGGATTGGTGGTTATTCAGCTGAGTGGCTATCCAGTTTCTCGTCTTGAGAGAATCAAAGACATTCAAAAGTTTTGAGATTTGGCTGATTGAAAATTGCCATATTTATTGAGAAACTAGCAGTTTATAATGGCTGGTGTCCAGTACAGTCTTTGCTAATGTTTCTCATTTCAAAATTACAAGTTCACGAAAGCTGATACTGTTGTAAGTACCACATTTCAAAATGTATCTCATATTGCGAAAACACTTTATTGTGCCTAACATAATGAAGTCTAAACCACACATTTATTATCTTTACAATGTTAATTGCAATATAAATAACATTTATGCATACAGTCAGAAATACAGGTCTATGAGAAAGTAAAAACTTGATCAAATAATGTTGCCTGCAATCTTAGAATAAAATGATGAGCACACTAACATAGGAGAGACCAAGCAAATCCCTGAGTCAACAGCAGACCCTTGGCTGAGGCAATGATTTAAAAAAAAAAAAAATCACAAGTGATGTTTAGCCCAAAAAGCAGTTTTCATAGGCTTTGCCATGATGTCCCTGTCTCTACAGACACCCATACTGATCCGGTAGATCCTCTTTGCAGTCATATAACAGACTTTTATTAGCTTTATTAGACAGTTATTAGCTCTTCCTTATCTTTTACATTTTTTTGTCAGCTGTAGAGACTTAAGGCATGGCATGTATGAGTTAAACATATGGTATTGTTGCTATCTCCTTTTTTTCCAGTGCTTTTTTTTTCACCGTTTGAGAAACAAGTTGTTTCCTAAATATTTTGAACACATCAAGCCAAATGCTGGCAGAGAAGGTAACAGCACCCATCTCCAGTGTAGGAATATGAACAGCAGACACGTATTTATATGAGATTTACTTTGGTTTTGATGTTTACCTTGCTGTGGGAGCAGGACTGAAGGAAAAAGGAAATCGAAAGACAAGCAAGCTCTAGATTTTGGGGATTCAAAAGGAAAGGAAACCCCGGGATTCCTGTTTCTGTTGTCCTTGAATCTGCTTTGGCTGCAGCTGATACAGGCTGATGGTAGCGGACAATTTTTGCAGCAAGTATCTTGTCCTAGTCCTCATCCTGCAAACACAGAAGCAGTGAATAAATGGCTTTGCTGGGGAGACACCTTTGGAAGTTGCTGGGGAGGACCAGTGATGTTCTTAAGGGGTTGCCCTCACCATTCTTCTGCTTTGGGGCTTCACTGTCACTTCCCTTGCGTTATGACTCCCCTCTGCGACTCACAGCAGAGGGGGAGCATATGTGACTCCGTGGTCATTTAATACCTCCTTTATATGTGGCATCAATATATATCATCAATAATATCAGCAGAAATTTGGGAAAAGGAGGTGTGAACTAGCTGGCATTGCTATCTTACAAGAAAGGAACCTTATGATTCGGGGTACCTTATTCTGTTCTCAACTTTAAGTTTTTTGTTATGATACATCTAGATACTTCATTCAATTCATGCCCGACTTGCAGTAATATGATTGAAATCAAGCTAATATCTTAATCTGTAATTTCTTATTTGAGGGATCAAACTGGATTAAAAAACATGATACTATTTGAAACTGAGACTCATTCATTATTCCAGCAGCATTGTTTCTAGGCCCTCATTAATTGATTCTATCACTATATTTGGATTCCCTAAACTGCAAAAAAAGTTAAACTGAAAGAAAATGCCACATAGTAAGAAGTAACTGCATCTTATTTAGATCAGAACACTTTTTACTTTTGTTGTCTGGCAGTTCATAAGAACCCAAAATTTTCCCCTGCTATCTTTTATTAGAGTCTAGCTGCATCAGGCTAGACCAACACGGATTGCAGACATATTTCACAATGAACCCAAAACTAGGGTCGTTTACTTGTTTAAATGTCAAATGGTATGTGGCTCCATTAAGAACACAAAGTGAACAGCATCTGGAACTCAGTCCTGATGCTTTTTCTCTGTCAATAACATACTACTTGAACTACTTCTATTGCCAGTTTTAGCCAGCATCATGCTAGCATCATACTGGGTTATGATAGAAACCTAATTCCCTTCTTAGCTGTCTTTAAATTGTGAGATCCAATTGATCTCAATACAACTGTTCCTCCTTTACACCTGAGAATGCAAAGACCCTCTATGAATGTTATTTTTTAAAACAAAATTATAATTACTCATAATCACAGAATATGCTGAGTTGGAAGGACCCACAAGGATCATTGCATCCAACTCTTGGCCCTGCACAGGACCATCACCAAGAGTCACACCATGTGCCTGAGAGTATTGTCCAAACACTTCTTGAGAACTCTGTCAGGCTTGGTGCTGTGACCACTTCCCTGGGGAACCTGTTGCAGTGCCCAATCACCCTCTGGGTAAAGAACCTTCTAATATCCAACCTAAACCTGCCCTGACACAACTTCAGGTAATTTCCTCACGTCCTGTCATTGGTCACCACAGAGAAGAGATCAGTTCTTGGCCCTCCTCTCCCCACCATGTGTTCTGCATTTAGAGTACATACTTACATCTAAAGTGTCTGGTCCATTAAAATTGCAAGATTCTCGATCACATAGAAGATAATAGATATTAATATAGGCAAAATTATTGTTCTGGTTGTCTCAAAAGAAGATTCTCTTTAAATTTTTTCAAACTTTAAGTATTAGATCTAAAAATGTACATGGTAGGTGTTTGCCTTAGGCTGATTTTTTTTGGATAGCCCAGTCGGTTTGCTTTTTTTCTCAGGTATTCTGGGCAAAATACATTATTCTGTTCCTGTTACCAAATTATACTGGTATTTCCTTTACTAGATGAAGTATGCAAAGAGAACTCACATTTCAAAGGGGACAGTATTTTTGTATGTGATATGACTTTTTCATAAAAATATTCTGGTGAAAACTGTAAGTCTTTGGAAAACTATTGACTGCATAGCCATTAGTAAACGTTTCCATTTTTATCAACCAATTTTTTTTTTTAAATATTGTCCTCTCTAAACTTTCTTGACCCTCTCAGTGGTCCTATAGTAAGAGTGAGTAAGAATGCTTATCACTATAGAACACTACCATATACATAAATCATCTTCACAAAGTGGTTTGGCATACATAAGATCAGGAATACAGTTGATTTTTGAAAGTTGATTTTTCTCTATAATGTCTCTTTTTTCGATTCAGGATGAAATTCATCACTGACAGCAACATGTCTATCTGTGTACCACCATGAATATCCATCTATGGGTGCTCAGCAAACACAGAGAAACAAGTCTTTGTAAAAACTGGATTTATTTGGATCAAACTGTGAAGTCTGTGTTAAGGATGCCAACTTGTGATTAAGAAATTCAATTGTTAATGAAACTGATGTAGTTCTAACTGTCAGAGTCTTATCCAGGCTTTCCTATGCTAGGATACAGTAACATCAAACAAGAAGATTCAAACCTAGACCATAAAATGGAATATCATTTGCCAGCGCAATAATATTTTACCAAAAAAAAAATCATTTTGTGAGTTTTCTTTCAAGTACCAATGGAAATTTCCTTTACCTTTCCTGAAGTTTCCTTCAGAAATAGCCTGAAAAGTAGGAAGCAAACTCAGCCACGTGGCTCAAGGAATGGGAATTTCTCTGATTACAGAGACCTTGAGACATAACTGCTCTGAAGAAAGGGTGATTCCATACTGAAAAAAATCCAAGCAAATGCAAATTGAAACATTTAAAAGAACGAGTAGCTGAAGATGATGTTGCAGCTACAGTAAGTACATAGAGATATTTACCAAGTGATTACAACCATTTTTGGATATTAAAATGAAGAAATGGACTAAGCAACAGCAAGAATGGAAAAATATACGTAGCTGAGGCAGATGAGAGAAACAGATGGGCAGAGCATTTCCAAGAAGTCTCACTAGACTCAGCCCACCATCAATACCATATTTTGATGAAATATTATGAACCTGAGCCATTTAACATTAACAATGACCAACTGAGACATCAGCAATACACATAGAAATCCAGGCTCTAAAAAATGTTTTCCCATCCCTCCTGCAAGAGAAATCATTTGCAATGGACTGTCATGCAGAATGTAAGACGACATTGAGCAGAAATCTTAGTAAACAATAGGTTGGATTCAGCTCAGGTGAACATGAATGAGCTAGAGATAGTCATAGTAAGTATTGCCATAAAATAATACATCATCAGTTCTCAAAAACACTTGGAAAGCTTATGTACATCTGTAGTCATATACCATGCAGGAATCAGGTTCTCTCTGAAGAAGGCATAGACTGGAAGACAAAGCATGCTTTAATATCAAGGCTCTTGAATGAAATCCTGCATATCTTGAATGAAACCCTGATATCTCTGACCCACTGAATCCCTGGCATGTTAACCAAATAATTTAAATTCAGCTTTCCAGAGCTAACTGGGAATTTTGGGCTTTGGTTTTGTAGGTTTTTTTGGGTTTCAGTTTCAGGTTTTGTAGGGGTTTTTTTGCTTGGTTGGTTGGAGTTTTTAGGGGTTTTTGTTTGGTTTTGGCTTTTGGTTTTTATTTAATCTGATTTAAATCTTTGATTTCTAGAGCTGATAAGCAATGACAGATTCAACCAAAGGCAGTAGAGAGACTTGAAATCATAGTGTGCCATGAAGAAGGGTGTGTTGCTGACAATAATATATCCAGGTATAGATCTTTAGGCATCTGATTGCTATGTTAAGCAGCTAAACCCATAGTTATTTTATGGTATTGACAGTACAGGAAACTAAGATTATTTCACTGAATTGTTTTATTAAAACACAACTCTTTTACATTCAGGGACTACAACTCTTTCACCACTCTTGACTGACACATATAACTGATCTTCTGGATTAAACATAAAATTCTGTCATTTTGTAGTAGTTCCTCTTGAGACATCAGTTTATTACAAGGTGTAGCAGACCAAAATGCAACCAAAAGAACAAGCTTTAACTACTAGTCACTTCTACGAGTAGTAGCCTACTATGATTTTCAGACCTGAGCAGACTACTGGTACATATTGAACAGAGACTAATATGTCACTTCTAAATCTACACTTTCTCTGTTTTCAGTGATGTTAATCTTATATCAAAGGATCCAATGTGTGTGTCATATTAATTCAACAGTGCACTGTGAATGCTAAGTTCTATGTAAATGATATAAGCCTTATCAGTTCCATTCATTGTTACAACTCAAACAACAGCAATTACAACAACTCTACAGATTTTGGCACTGTGAGAGTGGCAGATTTATTAGCAAAATCCAGTTAATATTTATCTTTTTATACTATTCAACTACCAAGTTACACCTGTACAATATACAAAGCTCCTAGGTAATGAGATATTTCTTTATTGTCAAATCTGCTCCACAGACTGCTAGTAAAGATTACATAGCTCATTTAAATAAAGCTCTTTTGTCAACAGACTGGATATACTTTAAAAATGAGTAAAAGCCTCATGTAAAAAGCAAATCTCAGCTGATGTGCAAGTATACACAAAAAGATGTACTTGTTTTTTTGACCTTATTCCAGTCGTTAATGCTTTAGTAAGCAGATTAGCAGTATTAAATTTTAAAAAAAGAAAACTGTATTTCAAGATCCAGTGAAAAACAAACTAAGAAAAGCCTGAAAAATCAATCTTCTACTAAAAATATTGGTGAATGCAGACAAAAATATTGGCTAATACAGGAAGAAAAAAAAGAAAGTGATATTATGATTTTTAACTGCTGTCAGGAAAAACTGAGGAAAATAGACAATACAGTAAGATCAGGGTATCTTTCAGCTTATTGTGGCTACTCACTGAAATCTGAAAATTAAAAATGTGCTTTCTATGTAAGGTTTCTGAAAATATAGCCTAGAGTTTGATACTGAGTAGATTCAAAATATGTGTGATATTATTCTCTCTTCAAAGATTTCTATCCTTGCTCTTTCTACTGCTATAGAAGGAAAATATATCTGTACTTATCCTCTCTTTGTATCATTTAGTAACACTTAGAATCAAATGCTGTTATTTCATCCCCAGAAGCCTGAAGCAACGAATGGAAACATCTTGAAAGGTGCAGATAATTGCACCGACCCCAAACCAAAGGCTTAATTTTTTTTTTTACCTCCAAAGCTCTGATCTGCAGAAGCCTACAACTTTTTCCAGCTTTTGTTTGGTATTTGCAAAAGGCCGTTAGAGGAACACGTCAGACAGCACAAGCTGAAGTGTCAAAACCCTGTAAGTAAACAAGATCACTCCAAAGAAATTTCTGACCTGGCCATTAATTTCTCCTGTTAAAGCAGCCGTAATCCCTAGTCATTCCTTTTACAGATTGTGCTGCTTACTCTGCAGAAATTGCACAATAAAATACCATATCTCATCCTCTGTCCCCTCCTAAAGGATTTCCGGAGTATAATTGTTAACACATTTTTGAAAAAATAAACTAGTGCTCTTTTAGCACTTGGTGCTGTTGACAGGTTTTTTTCAGGAGTTTATAATCTTAAGCATAAAACTAATAAACTAACATTAATAGGAATACGTTATACTACTTTCCCCAACAATTTAATGATGAGGTCTAAGATCAGCTTCGTCTTTGTGAAGGGTGAATTCATGCTTCTTTGCTACCTTTGAAATACACTAAGATTAATTACCATTTAATTATTACGTCATCTGTAGATCTAGCAGAATAGAGAGAGCACCCTGCTTGTCTTTACAAATCATAAAATATTATGATGATAAACATTTATATTCAGCTATTGCTTCCAATTCATATAAAGTACCTCCTGATTATTGCAGACCAATAAAATGAAATTCAAAAGATGACATTTTATCTTTTTCTAGATGAAACATACATTTATCAGTTATGCCCTATAACTTAATGGAAATTCAAAGATCATAGATCAAGCCCATCTTGCACTCTAGTCAAAAGCAAGCCTATCATGACCAAAGTACACCACTTCCTTCGTGTTTCTGGGCCTTTGGCACATGGCCATGATGTTAGTCACCAACCCATCCCTAGGTTTTGTGCAGCATGACTGTGCATTACAAACACCCTGGCCATATGACCGGCAACTCTGTGGTTGCACGTGCCCCTAGATGCTTGGCTGAATCCCCATGAGGACCCCTTTATCCATGAAAGAAAATTGATTTTTGGTTAACCATTGCAGGAATGACATGGCCCTCAGCATCACAGGTTTTGCACAGGGACGTCCCACGTGGGTTTTGCGCAATACACCACTCAGCCCGCGAAAGCAGCCCAGGGGCTGGATATTCTACAGGGCCAACTTGAGCATGGAGGGGTAAGTGTGCTTCCTGGAAAGCAATGAATCAATCGGAAGAACAGCTGGCCAATTAAGATGTGCATAACTTCTTGCCAGATGTTACCTTTGTGCTGATGACTGACTGCATCTTAGAGAAGTACATTGTTTCTCAACCCCTGGGGCTACTTTCATATTGTTAAATAAACAGAGCTAGGAACCACTCTGTGGCAGTAAGGCTAAGTGGTGTGAGCTGGTTTTGTCTGCACTCTGTAGTCCACTGCTGCTTCTTAGCCTTGTGTGATGACTTCACTGCCCTAAGACACATACAGCATTTTAGGGGGAGGAGGGGTTAATGTCTGAATGACTGAATTAATGTTAAGGTTGCGCTTCGGTCTATGAAGACAAAACACAGTGTAGGCATGGCATACCTTTGGGTATGGCAAAGCCTCTTGGAATAGTGTAAGAATACTGTATTGTGTTGAGAAAACTAAAGCTGATGCTCTCCTGTTCACAATCCCTGCTTGAAGCAGTGCCTGGTGAATGTTATATCTCAGATTTTGATAGTCCTTCTCTTGGAAAGTGCTAACTAGCACAAGTCACCATGAGGTGCCATGGTACCATAAATATACAGTATAAAGTAGCACAGAGCAGGTCAAGCTAGATCCCTAACCCTATTTTATTTTGCAGAACTTGATGTAGTCTTCATGGCCAACAGTACACTGATCTTCCTTTTGAAAGTGTCTTGGAAGAAGCCAGATGAACACATGCTCTTCATAAACAATAAGCACTGAATTCATAAATAATAAGAATTCATGGGTTGGAAGGGATTAGGAAGGGATTGTGAAGGTTGGAAAGGGTCTAGCTTCAACAAGTAGGGGAAGATAGGCAAAATATGTGTGGCTACCAGGTATCACAGTAGGTCAGATTGAGACCTATACTGTGAAGGGAAAAAGGGATATTTTGAGAGTCGTAAACTGAAGTCTTTAAGTGATCAGCTAATTTGAATTTGACATCCTTAGTCTAACCAAACATCATTTTCCTCTTATACTAGCACCAGAGATTAGATTTGATAAATCCTATGAAAATTCTTTATCCTAGTCATTCCTTTCCTGACTTCAACTCTAGTTCTGATTTACATCTTTAGGCTAAGCAGTTGTTTTCCTTCTTGTTTGACCCAGAGGTAAGCAAAAAGTGAAAGAACACCATTTCTTCCTTACTAAACATAAGCATCTTTTGAGGTTTACAAAGGCTCAGATTCCAATATGCACCACATCTACACATCAGCTTCTCGCTACAATCATTTATTCTGTATGACTCTTGATAGTATTCCCACCGAGACCTCTAAAGAGTTACTTAATTCCCTGATCTGAGAACATAGCACTCAAACAGGCAGTCCTGTATTTTCCCACCCCCATTATCTGCCTGTCTTCAAAAAGGATGGACATTGTATTGCAAAAATTAGTATTACAAGGAATGCAGAAATTAAAAGGGTGTTCATAGAATATAGTTTACAATTAGTTAGATACTTAGCTTCAGTCTGTCATAATACGTATTATATTAACTAGCCTTTAAGATAATTGGAATAAAGTCTTTCAGGCCTTGCCAGAACCCTTTGTCCTCAGAAGGGCTTAGGGCGTTCAGCCACATTTCTGCAGGAAGCAAAATTTGACCAGAAGGAAAAGGCTAAATGAAGTCACACACTGTCAGTAATTAAATCCCTCAGTAGGTACTATAAGTCATTCATACAGAAGTATCACATTATACGGTACTATAAGCTGTTAATACAAAAGTATCACATTCTAGGAAACACCATAGGTGTAATGTAGACTCAGACAATGTGATGTAGGTTACAACCTAATGTAAAGAAGTTTGGATGGTATTTCGAAAACACTGATTTATTCTACAACCTTCTTCCAGTTCTGAAAAGAAGGAATATTAAGGAGAAGAAGAAGAAAAATGAAGAAAGATGAAGAAAATTAAGAAGAAGATAAATGAAGAAAGATGAAGAAAATTAAGGACAAGAATCAGAAGAATGAGAAATAAGAAAGTATATGTCTGAGAAGGCAGGAATTAGAATTCTTCACCTTGCATGTCTGTTTCAATCTACAATATTCTCACCTCAATATCTCATTAAAAAAAATCCCAAAAATATGGAAAAAATAGTGTTAGAAAAAATGCTATTGGAAAAACTCCCAAATACATTCATTGCTTTTAACTTTTTAAAGTGTTTGAGCATGTAATTGCAGCCAGAGAAGGGTGAGAATATATGAGAGGAACAACTCTGCAGACACCTAGGTCAGTGAAGAAGTAGGGGGAGGAAGTGCTCCCAGCACTGGAGCTGAGATTCCCCTGCAGCTCATGGTGAAGATCATGGTGAGGCAGCTGCCCCCCTGCTGCCCATGGAGGACCACCGGGGTGCAAAGATTCACCTGCAGCCCATGGAAGAGACCCACACCAGAGCAGATGGATGCCTGAGAGGAGGCGGCTGTGAACCTGTGGGAAGCCCATGCTGGAGCAGACTCCTGCTGGGATCTGCAGACCTGTGGAGAAAGGAGCCAGTGCTCCCGGTACATTTCTTGGTAGGACTTGTGACCCTGTGGGGGTGCACCACGTGGAAAAAGTTACCCACATTGGAGCAGTGTGCAGAGAGCTGTTGCCCATGGGAAGGACTCACGCTGGAGAAGTTCGTGAAGGGCTGTCTGCTGTGGGAGAGACTCCATGCTGCAGCAGGGGAAGGACTCTTCCCCAGAGCAGTGGCAGGAACACCATGTGATGCACTGACCCATAATCCCCATTTTCTGTCTCCCTGTGCCACTGAGGAGGGGGAGGGGCTGGGAAGGAGGAAGGGGTGGGGGAAAGTGTTTTTACTTCTTATTATCCTGCTCTAATTTTGTTAGTAATAAGATCAGTCAATATCCCCAAGTTCAGTCGACGATAGTAATTGGTGAGTAATCTGTCCTGTGTTCATCTCAACTCATGAACCTCTTGCTGTATTTTTCTCCTCTAACTAGTTGTGGAGGTGAGAGACAGACCAGCTTTGGTGGGTACCACCAGTCCAACCAGGGTCAACTCACCACACATGTAC